TAGTTCACCCCTTATCTGCTGCACTTGGAATCGGATTCCTGACCCTTTCCATACTCTCTGGCCTATTACTTGTTCCAGAAACTTCAATAATCTCTGCTGAGCCCTCTCTGTCTTTAACTTTTTGTGTAATTTTCCATGTAACCAACCCCACCCAGCCCACCCCACTATTTAGTTTAACGCACTACCCACAGCCCTAGTTATGCAATTTGCCAGGACTCTGATCCCAGTGTGATTGAGGTGCAGCCTGTCCCATCGGAATGGCTCCCTCCTTCCCCACTACTGGGGCCAATGTCCCATGAATTCAAATCCGTTTCTCCTACACCAATCTCTCAGCCATGCATTTACCTCTTCAATCTTGTTGATCCTACCCCCAATAGGGGAGGTGATGGTCTAGTGGTATTATCACTGGATTGTTAATCCAGAGACCAAGATAACATTTTGGGGACCTGGGTTTGAATCCTGCCACGGCAGATGGTGGAATTTGAATTCAATAAAATATCTGGAATTAAGAATCTAACGATGACTGTGAATCCATCGTCAGGGGAAAAAACCCATCTGGTTCACTAACGTCCTTTAGGGAAAGAAACTGCTATTCTTACCCGGTCTGACCTACATGTGATTCCAGACTCACAGCAATGTGGTTAACTCTGAATTGCCCTCTGGGCAATTAAGGATGGACAATAAATGCTGCTTAGCTAGTGAAATCCTCATGCTTTTAATGAATAAATGAAAAAAATTTGCTTCTGGGTCAGGTAGTAATCCAGAGATTATTACCTTTGTGGTTCTGCTTTTTAATTTAACCCCTAGCTGCTCATATTCTCTCAGCAGACCCTCTTTTCTCTTTCTCTCTGTATCATTGGTTCCTGTGTGGGAATCAAGAGAAAAGGCAGGAAAGTCAAGCTGAGGATGATCAGACCAGGCATGGTCTCACTGAGTAGACCCAATGGGCTGAATGGCCTACTTCTGCTTCATGTCTCTTTTGGTTTTATCGCTACCTCTGACTATCCCAATCTACACAAAGATTAAAGCCACCCATGTGTTCATTCGCTGAGAATGCTGAGACTGATCTGACTGGAGTGAGAGGAATATAAATTTTAAACATAAGAACCCATGTTAAGGACAGAATAATTTAACCTTCTTGCTAATCTGCTTCTTTGTCCTAGTTCTGCACCATGTCATCGCTTATTGTCCCTTTCCACCGGCCTCAATTTTCCCTGAGGCTGTGAAACTTCAAATCAGAAAATTGTAGACAGTACAGTGCAGAAGAGTTCCTTCGGCCCATCTCGTCTGTGCCGACCTCTTTGCACTAATCCCATTTTCCACCATTTGGCCCATAACCTTGAATGTTCTGACATGTCAAATGCTTGTCCAGGTACTCTTTAAAGGTTGTGAGATGTCCCACCTCAATTATCTCCCCTAGGCAATGCATTCCAGACCCTCACCATTTTCTGGGGGGATATGTTTTCCTCAAATCCCCTCTCAACCTCCTACATTTCACTTTATCGTTGTGCCCCCTAATTATTGACCCTTCAACTAAGAAGAACAGCTGCTTTCTGTTCATTCTGGACATGCCCCTCGTAATCTTGTACACCTCCATCAGGTCGCCCCTCAGCCTTCTCTGCTCCAAGGAAAACAACACAAAATTATCCGGCCTCTCTTCATCACTGAAACGTTCCATCCCAGGAAACATCCTGGTGAATCTGCTCTGCACCCCCTCCAGTGCAATCACATCCTTCCTATAGTGTGGGGACCAGAACTGCACTCCAGCTGTGGCCTAACCAATTCTAATCAGCTCCAACGTGACCTCCCTGCTCTTATAATCTGTGCCTTGACTGATAAAGGCACGTGTCCCCTAAGCCTTTTTAATAACCCTATTTATCTTCAGGGATCTGTAGACCAGCATCCCAAGACCTGTCTGTTCCTCTGAGCTTCCTGGAGTCCTGCCATTCATTGAGTACTCCCCTGCCTTGTTAATTATTCCAAAGTGCATTATCCCATATTTATCAGGGTTAATCATCAGCAATGGGGAAATTAGTGGAACTGAAGAGTCACCAATCCCCAGGAGCTGATGGTTTCTATTCACAGGTGTTTAAGGGCAAAGAACAAAGAACAAAGAAAATTGCAGCACAGGAACAGGCCCTTCGGCCCTCTAAGCCTCTGACATGCTGCCCATCACAACTAAAACCCCCTACCCTTCCGGGGACCGTATCCCTCTATTCCCATCCTATTCATGCATTCGTCAAGACGCCCTTTAAAAGTCACTAAAGCATCTGCTTCCACTACCTCCCCCGGCAGCAAGTTCCAGGCACCCACCACCCTCTGTGTAAAAAACTTGCCTCGTATATCACCTTTAAACCTTGCCCCTCGCACCTTAAACCTGTGCCCCCTGGTAACTGACTCTTCCATCCTGGGAAAAAGCTTCTGACTGTCCAGGAATTGGAGAACGTGTTGTTGATGCCCTAACCATAATCTTTCAGAGTTCCCTGGTTTCAGGAGTTGTACCTCTGGATTGGAAAGGTCCTCATGTAACTGTGCTTTAAGAAGGGTGACAGAGGGAAACCGGGGAATTACAGACCAGTTAGTCTGACATCTGTATGGGGAATCTTTTGGAATCTATGATCAAGGATGCAGTAACTGATCATCTCAAAAATTTCAGTTAGCATGGATTCATGTAGGGTAGGTCCTCATAGAGTTTATTTGAAGAGGTGACAAAGGTGGTAGACAGAGGTAAGTCAATGGATGCTGTTTATACAGATCTTCTGATAAAGTCCCACACAACAGACTGTTGGCTAAGGTGGAAGCCCATGGAAATGAGGGCAAATTACTGGCATGGATAGGAAATTGGTTGAGTGGCAGGAAACAAAGAGTTGGAACAATGGGTAAGTGTTACAACTGGCAGGATGTGACCAGTGGTGTCTCGCAGGGAGCTGTGATAGAGCCACAATTATTCACAATATTCATTAACAACTTGGATAATGGCATAAGAAATCAAAAATCCAAATATACTGACAACACCAAATTGGATATCGTATTGTAGACCGTGTCAGTGACAGCATAAAATTACAACAGGGTATTGATGGATTAGGTGATTAGGCAAAGCTGTGGTAGATAGATATTAATATCAGCAAGTGTGAGGTTATCCATTTTGGACTGAAAAAGGAATACATTAGGGAACATTTTAGAAAAAATCCAGTGGATGTCCAACAAGATTTGGAGGCTCAGGTGCATAGCTCTTTAAAATGCCATGAATAGGTATAGAATATAGTCGAGAAGGTAAATGAAATGATGGCCTTTCAATGTCTAAAGGGCTGGAAAAATGCAATTCAGATGTTATGCTGCAGTTATACAAAATCCCAGTGAGACCCCACTTAGAGTACAGTGAGCAGATCTGAGCTCCACACCTTAGGAAGGAGGGTTGGCTCTGGAGGGAGCTCAACCCAGGTTTATAAGGATAATACCTGGACTTCCAGGGTTAAGTTATAGGGAGAGATTAGACAAATTAGGCATTTATTCTCTAAAATTTTAGAAGTTTAATGCATGATCTAATCAAGATTTTCAGGATATTAACAGAGAAAGATAGGCTACATAAAGATAAATTATTCCCACTGGTTGTAGGTTCTGGAACTGGGGACATAGTTGAAGAATTAGGGTCAGGCTATTGAGGAGAGTTATTAGAAAGCACTTCTACACACAAACAGTAGTGGAGGTTTGGACTCTCTTCCTCAAAATGTTGGTCAATCCTGATCCAATTATCAAATTTCAATCTGAAATCAAGTTCCAAGGGGTATGGACCCAAGGCAGGCATATAGCCAGAGATCAGCCATGATCTCATTGAATCAAGGGACTGAATGGCCTCCTCCAGTTTTTATTTTCCTAACTTCCATCTGCCACGGATCTTCCCATCTGACCAATCTGTGTGCATCCTCCTATAACCTAACACTTTCCTCTTCTCTGTCACCCAGCCGATCTTACTGTCATCCATAAACTTACTTATCATTCACCCCGCCGCCCCCCACACTGTCATCTCCGTCATTTATAAAGATCAGAAACATTAAGGGACCCCCGCACTGACCCCTGTGGTACAGAACTGCACACCGGGCTCCAGACACACAACTGACTTCTACCACCACCCTCTGTCTCCTGTCATGAAGCCAATTTTGGATCTAACTTGCCAAGTTACCCTGGATCCCATGTACTTTTACCTTCTTTCTCAGTCCACCATGTGGGATCTTGTCAAATAGCACGGCTTGATCGCTCAGTGGTTAGCACTGCTGCCTCACAGCACCAGGGACCTGGGTTCAATTCCACCCTCAGGCAACTGTCTGTGTGGAGTTTGCACATTCTCCCCATGTCTGCATGGGTTTCCTCCCACAGTCCAAAGGTGTGCAGGTTAGGGTGGATTGGCCATGATAAATTGCCACATAGTATGAAGGCAATGTGGGTTAGCCATGGGAAATGTGGGGTTACAGGGATGGGGTGGGTCTGGGTGGGATACTCTTTGATGGGTTGGTGTGGGCTGAATGGCTTGCTTCCGCACTGTAGGGATTCTATGACATGTCTTGCCTTACATCAACTGCATTAGTCTCATCTACACACCTGGTCACCAGTTTGAAAAATTCAGTCAAATTTGTGAGGCATTCCTTGTGCTGACAAAGCCACACTTTGACCTATTTGTTTAATCAATTGAGGGCAAGGTGAATGTTAGCTGTGCGGGGTGTGTGATGTGGAATGCACTGTCTGAAAGGCGCAGAAACTTCCAAATGGAAATTCCAGCCTGGAGGATCCTGTTAGCCAGGTGTAGCTGAGACACACCCATCAATCTCATCTCCCAATTCCTTCTTGAGTGTGCCTCCCAAACAAACCTTCAGAAAGGGAATATGTGGAGGGAATGGGATGAATTGGACAGCTCTGTCAGAGGGCCAGCACAGCCCTGATGGGCCAAGTGGCCTCCTCCCACACACTTTCTCATTGGGGCACCTGTGGTTGTTTCCTTCCTGCAGACCAAGGCTGAAGATTTGGAGATCGAAGGCTGGGAGTACGCGTCTCTCTTTGGTTGGAAATTCCACCTGAAGCAGAGGAAGACGGATAGCTTCCGCCGTCGTAGGTGGAGACGCCGCATGGAGCCTCTGGAGAAGGCCGGACCTTCTGCAGTCTTCGCTCTGGAAGGTGCACTGGTGAGTGAAGCTCTCAGAATTCTGGTATCCCTCCCCTCAGGGGAGGTGATGGCCTAGTGGTATTATCGCTGGACTGTTAATCCAGAGACCCAGATAACGTTCTGGGTTCGAATCCTGCCACGGCAGATGGTGGAATTTGAATTCAATAAATATCTGAAATTAAGAATCCAGTGATGACCATGAATCCATTGCCGATTGTTGGGGGAAAAACCCATCTGGTTCACTAATGCCCTTCAGGGAAGGAAACTGCCATCCTTACCTGGTCTGGCCTACATGTGACTCCAGACCCACAGCAATGTGGTTGACTCTTAACTGCTCTCTGGGCTATAAATGCTGGTCCATCCAGCGACATCCTCATCCAGCGACATCCTCATCCTGCGAATGAATAAAAACAATCAGCCCTCTTCAGATCTTTCCTCTAAATCTCCACTGCCCCCTGAAAGAAGGCTCTTTCAAACTCTCCCACTGGTTCACCCCTTCCCTCGCCATTGTCCCACCGAGAAACAGCTGTTGCTCCACACTATTCCCAGATGTGGAGGTGATGGTTCAGTTTCTGTAGCACCTGGGCACCTCCCCTGCCCCAGCACAGCCACTGGTAAAGACTTTGTTCCAGCTATTGTTACCTTGACAGGGACTCATTCCAACACCATCCTGGGCATTCTGTATAAATCAGTTTCAGTGTCTCTGAGCTGTCACTCTTTCATTCACCAAGCAACCCCCTGAATTCCTGTTCCAAACAAATGCTAATTCTCGTTTTCAAATTCATCCATGGCCTGTTACAAAGTCACAGTTACAGCCATAATAATATGGCAGGCTCAGGCCTTTTTGCACATTCAGCATGGAAACAATCCAGTCACCCATCTGGCTCTGTGACTGTGTAGGCCAAATAATCTCACTGCCCCGCTCTCTCCCCATAGCCCTGTAGCAATCCCAAACTAATCCCACTGCCCCACTCTCCCCCCATAGCCCTGTAGCAATCCCAAACTAATCCCACTGCCCCGCTCTCTCCCCATATCCCTGTAGCAATCCCAAACTAATCCCACTGTCCCACTCACTCCCCGTAGCCCTGTATCAATCCAAAACCAACCCCACTGCCTCACTCACTCCCCATAGCCCTGTATCAATCCCCAAACTAATCCCACTCACTCCCCATAGCCCTGTATCAATCCCCAAACTAATCCCACTGCCCCACTCACTCCCCATAGCCCTGTTATTAGTGCAATGATCTTTGCCTCAAACAGTAAGTAGGAGAAATAATGACCAGGAGGTATCCAATCCGGATCAGAAACTACTCTCCCAATCAAACAAAAACAGCTCGCTTTCCTTCCTCCCGTTTCTCTGCAGGATGTATTGATGGAGATTGTCGATGAGTACTGTATCCTCTGAGGGAGCAGTGTACAGAATCTGTGCAGGAACTGCACTCACTTGTTCCTGCACTAGCAGCTGTTGTATTCCTGATAGGGAACACCTGAACTGAAAGCGTAGGCCATTCGGCCCATTGAGCATATCTGTCTTTCAATAAAACCATGGCTAATCAGATTTAGTTGAAGTAAGTGTTTAAATATACCGAAAAATCTTTGACCAGCCACAGATTGAAGATAACTGTTTCAGCCAAATGTGTAAAGTGGGCAAAGGAGTAGGATAGGCTGTGTGAGGGGGCAGAGTGGCATTGGATCTGACTGAAGCCTACAGAACACATAGAGTGGATGGGGAGAAGATGATTCCACCAGTAGGGGAGACTGGGACCCAAGGGCACAGCCTCAGTGTGAGGGGAGCAGCCCTTTGGTACTGAGATGAGGAGGAATTTCTTCAACCAGAGGGTGATGAAGCTGTGGAACTCATTGCTGCAGAGGGCTGTGGAGGCCAGGTCATTGAGTGTATTTAAGGCAGAGATAGAGAGGTTCCTGATTAGTAAGGGGGTCAAGGGTTACAGGGAGAAGGCATAGAATGGGGTTGAGAAATCTATGATCCATGATTGAATGGCAGAGCAGACTCGATGGGCCAAAAGGCCTAATCCTGATCCTATATCTTATGATTTAATGGTCTTATAGTTTGGGAGATCAAAGGATAATGCAGTACAGACTGAGCCCCTCACAGCCCTGACTGAGGGGCTCAGCCTTTCGGGTCTGTACTGCCAACAACAGGTGGTTAGATGTCCCTGTGGGTGTGGGGATTACATTGGCAGTTCACTGAATTGGACGTAGTGGTTAGGTGTGTGGGTTGGGGGGATAAAGTGGGTCAGGCTGGGGCTGGTCAGGACAGGAGCTTGTCAGCGAGAGGTCAAGGGGTTGGGGGTGGAGGAGAGAGGGGTAGTAGTGGCAGAGATGGAGGGCCTTTCATGCTGTTGGTGGTGGTGTTGTGTGGAGCGGGGGAGATGGGGGGGTACATTTCAGCTGTGCAGTTACATATTCCCCTCACCCACCCCCACCATCCTGGGAGTGTTCTCCATGGCAACAGCCTCAACCAATCAGGGCCCATTTGCCAACCCTTCAACGCACTCTCCTCAAGCAGGATAAGTGTATTGTTCCTTTTACGATGGTGGTTTCTTGGAAATTGTCCTCCGGGGCACAAGGTGAAAGGTACAGGCACGATTGGTCGGATTTTTAAGCAGACTCATGCTTCTGCCATACCAACGGGTTGACCCGGGAGTCGGACTTGGTTTCTGATGGTGACGTCTCCGAGGTAACTATCCCGCTGAGTTTGCCAAAACTGTCTGCTGGAACTTGGAGGGGGAGGTGTTTGAGGAGGGTGTCGGGGAACCGCCCACACAGTTCCCCCAAAACCTTGCATTGGGCCATTCCGTAGCGTTCCTCAGTGCGTTTTCCAAAGGGGACATCCGGTCTCCAGAATCCGAGAGCGGGGCTAATATTGTTCCATTCTGCAGAAAACCCTGAACAGAGGTCACCTTCGCCGCCTACCTCACAGCCCTGACTCAGGGGCTCAGGCTCTGTGTACAACAGAAACATTCTCACTGCTTTTAATTTAGTTTACAACAAGTATAATATTTGTCTTGAACGGGTGCCAGGAGCAACGACTGGCAGGGTTTATACTGACTACATAGAACATGTTATGAGGTGATTTGGAAATGGCAGATTGGAGGCACAGCCTGGATGAAAGGAATAAGGGACTGATGTGTTCACCACCAAAGCACAGCCGACAATTTCTTCCTGTCTCCACACATCCTGAGTTGTGGAAAGTTCAATTTTCCAACTGTTAAATGGTCCCCTTCTCTCTCTCTCTCCCTCTCTCTCTCTCACGCTCTCAGTATTGTCCACCAGCAGTCTCTGTAAAATGAGCATAAGAACATAAGAACTGGGAGTTGAAGCAGGCCATTCAGCCCCTCCAGGGTGCTGTGCCACTCAGTACAATCTTTTCTTCATTCATTGTTGGGGGTGCAGGCATCAATGGCTCAACGTCTCATTTTAATTGCCCCGTAAGGCGAGACATCCCCAACACCTTTAGTATCTGATATCCCTCAATTAGACCTCCTCTCTTTCTTCTAAACTTCACAGAGTACAACATAAGAACACAAGAACCAGGAGCAGGAGGAGGCCATCTGGCCCATCGAGCCTGTTCTGCCATTCAATAAAATCATGGCTGATCTTTTCATGGACTCAGCTCCTCCTACCCGCCCGCTCACCCTAACCCTTAAATCCTTTGCTGTTGACAAATCTATCTTTGCCTTAAAAACATTCAACAAGGTAGCCTCAACTGCTTCACTGGGCAGGGAATTCCACAGATTCACAACCCTTTGGGTGAAGAAGTTCCTCCTCAATTCAGTCCCAAATCTTATTTTGAGGTTGTGTCCCCTTGTTCCAGTTTCACCTGCCAGCGGAAACATCCTGCTTCTATCTTATCTATTCCTTTCGTAGTTTTCTATGTTTCTATAAGATCCCCCCTCATTCTTCTAAATTCCAATAAGAACATAGAACAGTACAGCACAGTACAGGCCCTTCAGCCCACTATGTTGTGCCTAACTATTATCCCACTAAGATCAAACTACCCTGCATACCCTACATTATACTATCATAAGTATAAGTATAGCCCCAGTCTACTCAGTCTCTCCTCATAAGCCAACCCTCAAACTCATTGGCCTAAGCTACTCAATCTCTCTTCAAAAGACAAATTGTTTCATCCCGAAAGTCAAGCTTCTCTGTATCTTTGGTTAATTAAAGAATCTTCTCTGAACTGCCTCCAATACAATATCCCTCCTCCAGTAAGGGGACTAAATAAACTGTAAGCTCTGCTCCAGATGCGGTCTCACCTCGGACAGTTGTGAATGTGTCCAGAGCACGTGTGGCTGGTCTCAAAGGGATATCATGGGGGGAGCCTGTGCTCAGGCCTTTGTTGTTGTGAAGCCTGGTCTTGGTGTGGGGACTTGGCATTAGCTCCTCCATTGCTGTTCCCGTCCCCGGGTGGGGGTGCCTCGTGTTAAGGTACAGGGTTGGGATTGGGTTGGGGAGGAGGGAGGAGGCATGGTGAGGAGAAGGTGGACGGGGTTCACTCCTCGATGTGACCCCATGGGAGCAGCCTCGGGATATTTGGGGACAGCAGGTGGAGTAGAACGGGAGAGGGTTTGGTCTCAGTGGTGAGGTGACTGGGCCGATTTCGGTAATTCCTGGTCATCCTGTGTGCTAGAGGGTTGGCAAGCGAATGCCAAGGGGAGGGAGAGGGTTGACGGACCTGTAACCAAGGATACAGAGCACCAGTCTTCAATGGAGTTTGAGCACTCGCTGTATCTCTGAGGGAGCAGTTGCTTTGTTTGGATTGAAATGCAATTGTGTACCAATGTCCCTCTTGGTCTGCTGTAGTCAGCTTTCCTGCTCCTCTGATGCTGCTTGGCCTGCTGTGTTCATCCAGCTCTACACCTTGTTGCCTAAGATTCTCCAGCATCGGCAGTTCCCACTATGTATGTACTATGAGGCAGATGCCCTACAGGCAGGAATGTTAAGCTTCAATTCAATAAAGAACACAAACAAAATTACAGTACAGGACCAGGCCCTTCGGCCCTCCAAGCCTGCACCGACATGCTGCCCGTCACAACTAAAACCCCCTACGCTTCCGGGGACCGTATCCCTCTATTAGCATCCTGTTCATATATTTGTCAAAATGCCATTTAAAAGTCACTATTGTATCCGCTTCTACTACATAGAACATAAAACATAGAACAGTACAGGCCCTTCGGCCCATGATGTTGTGCCAACCTATTATCCTACTAAGATCCCCAGCAGTGAGTTCCAGACACCCACCACCCTCTTTGTAAAAAACTTGCCTCGTACATCACCTTTAAACCTTGCCCCTTGCACCTTAAACCCCTAATAACTGACTCTTCCACCCTGGGAAAAAACAACACACTTGAAGTCTCAGAACATGGTGTTAGAAAAGATACAACCAGAGCTGAAGTTAAAGACACGTCTGAGATCTGTGAACTGTCACTGCTAAAGAGACAGTGAGGATCCCAGTGAAAATACTGCTTCTGATCAAATGTCTGCAGTTTCTCCTGATGAGCTCCCTGCTCCTGGGGGAAGTGAGGCAGAGCTGGGAACTCTCTGTGAGCAATGGCGGAATTATGCAATTGCCACTGATTTTGCTGAGAAAAAAATGTACACACTGCTCCACCCTCTGAAGCGCAGAGAAAAAATTCACGTGGAGAAGTTTTAAAAGCTTTTCAGCCCCAAGCGAACGGTAACTCGGAATGGTCCGTACTCAATACCAGGGAACAAAGTGAAAATCAGTCCATTGGTCAATATATACCAGCATTAACTCAGCTCACTGAATCTGTGCAGTTAAAGGGTGAGCTAATTGGAGATGTAAATAAAAACTGAATGAGCTGCAGGTGCTGTAAATCAGAAACAAAAACAGAAGTTGCTGGAAAAGCTCAGCAGGTCTGGCAGCATCTATGGAGAGAAAATCAGAATTAACATTTCGGGTCCGGTGGTTCCATTCTGAGGAAGGATCACCGGCCCCGAAACGTTAACTCTGATTTTTCTCTTCACAGATGCTGCCAGACCTGCTGAGCTTTTCCAGCAACTTCTGCTTTTGTTCCTAATTGGGTTAGAGCTAGGAAGAAGTGACCCAAAATGAAAAGGACGCCGACTGAGAGAAGACAGACTCGCTCAGGAGAGCATCCATTTGGTGCAGTATGCTGAGGTTGTGAATGAACAGCTGCAGCTTACTCCTGGCAAGCAGGGAGCAGCTGTTGCATTGTGCTAACAGATCCTGCAGACACATAGACCAGCACAAACCCAAACGGCAGTGTGCACACGCTGCAGAGGACATTGTGCAGAAGAGAAGATGGTATGACCAGTGTGGGGAGGGCAGGGTCTACGCTGCTAAAAGATGACTCGTTTTGTTTGTAAGTGTATGTCTAGAAAGGAGCACAAGAAGCAGGTAAGGTTAGGGTAGGCTTAGGGTTAGGATTGAGGAGAGAGAGCAGTTGAAGATTCTGATGAATCGCTCTGCACCGTACAACAGGTTGGTGGAGTCAAGCCGATTGGTGACTCTTGGAATAAGGGCGGCAGAAGGGGAATGTCAGGTCAACAGAAAGTCTCAGAGAGACACTGCTTTGTAAATCATCAACCCAACAGAAAAACCAGCCCAGGTGGCAGCTTGGGACCTAAATGGAGTAGTTTGATCATGCATAGTTGAAGTGATTGAGCAGATACACAGTCAGAGCCAGAGGCACATACTCCTGAATGCAGAATCTGTTCCTCAGCTGCAGGCAGTTCATCAGGAAGAGGTGATCACTCTACTCACACACAACACATATCAACCATCGAAAACCGAGGGCTTACAGCAACCCAACAACAAAATTTTACAACAGGAATGATGACCATAATAATAGCTAGTGATACAAGAATGACACTCCCTTGCAAAACAACATCACCCAGATCACCCGAAGGGTCTAGGCCCGAAACGTCAGCCTTTCTGCTCCTCTGATGCTGCTTGGCCTGCTGTGTTCATCCAGCTCTACACCTTGTTGTCTCAGATTCTCCAGCATCTGCAGTTCCTACTATCTCATCACCCAGATGAGAAGTCTTTGACAACATACATGTCAACTATTAAGAAACCAGAACAATTTAAGGATTCTGTATGATTTTGACTGATGGGAATAATGGACTACCAAGGCTTGAGAACAGTAATTGTATATTGTACATGACAGTGTGTGGCTTTTTACCTTCCTTTGTATAAGAAGAGGATGTGTGAATTGAATTTACAGTCATGTGCAAATGTCACTGCTCGTTTGCTGTAGTGATGGGACCTGCACACTGAAGCACATGCCCTGCAGACAGAAGTTTCGAGTTCTGAGGAAAGGCCATTTGACCCGAAACAGTAACTCCAATATCTCTCTACAGACGCTGCCAGAGCTGCTAAGCTTTTCCAGCAACTTCTGTTTTTGTTTCTGATTTACAGCATCCGTGGTTCTTTCGGTGTTTAGTCTTAAGCCTCATTTTGATAATGTCCTCCTCGTGTTGAACACACTGCCATGTTGTATGCTTGGGACAAGTTTGGCCATTAGTGAGAGGTGTCCACTGCTGAGACATTGCTGTTAACTGATGGCTGAGTGTGCCAGTGAAGATTTATGAACCCGGTGTACTGTGAGACTGAGCGATAGTTAGTGTGGAGAGCACTCTGTCCAGAGTGGAAGCACAGAGGCCCAAGAATACAGACCATAAACGCAATAAACAAGGCTATTGGCAGAAAAAAAGACAATGGAAGGTGAATAAAAACACTACTCTGACTAAAGACCTTGGAACAGCTTCAAGAACTGTTTCTCATGCTTACACATGCTCCCTCACATTGGCACACAGCTACACACACACACACGCACACACACACATTGTACACACAAACACACACGCACATGCGTCTTACACACATACACATACACACATTGTACACACAAACACACACACACGCACACACACATGCGTCTTACACACATACACCCACACACACACGCACACACACACGCACACACATGCACGCACACACACACGCACATGCGTCTTACACACACACACACACACACACACACAAACACACGTACACAAGAACGTGTATTACACCCTCCCCCACCCTATCTTCTGCATATAAACCAACACTTTCCTAGCTACCGTCAGTCCTGAGGAAGGGTCACCGGACCCGAAACGTTAACTCTGTTTTCTCCTTCACAGATGCTGCCAGACCTGCTGAGAGTTTCCAGCAACTTTGTTTTTATTCCTGATTTACAGCATCTGCAGTTCTTTCGGTTTTTTTTTAATGTGCCATCATTACCTGGTCTGGAAGTAAATGTGAGCATGAGGTTGACTCTTAATGCTTTCTGAAATAAGACCATAAGACATAGGAACAGAAATTAGGCTATTCAGCCCATTGAGTCTGCTCCATCATTCAATCATGACTGATAAGTTCCTCAACCGCATTCTCCTGCTTTCTCCCCGTAACCCTTGATCCCCTTGATAATCAAGAGCCTATCTATCTCAGTCTTAAATGTACTCAATGACCTGGCCTCCACAGCCTTCTGTGGCAGTGAATTCCATAGATTCACCACTCTCTGGCTGGAGAAGTTTCTCCTTATCTCTGTTCTAAAAGGTCTTCCCTTTACTCTAAGGCTGTGCCCTCAGGTCCCAGTCTCTCCTACCAATGGAAACATCTTCCCAACATCCACTCTGTCCAGGCCATTCAGTGTTCTGTAAGTTTCAATTAGATCCCCCCTCATCCGTCTTAACTCCAATGAGTATAGTCCCAGAGTCCCCAAACGTTCCTCATATGTTAAGATTAGTAATCTTAGTAATGGCTTAGTAAGCTATCGTGTCCAATCTAACCTGTTCAAACTGTTTTTGTTGGTGGAAGGATTGAGAAGCAGAGGGTGCAAAATGTTTGGGCTTTGGTTAAGTACTGTCTGAGACTCTGTTGGAAGCAGGTTCAACTGAGGCTTTCCAAAGGGAACCGGATGGTCATTTGGAAAGGAGCAAAGTGCAGAGTTAGGTGGGGAAGGAGGTGGATTAGCGATTGAGAAGCACAGAGAGTATGGGCCGAATCAGCTCTGCCTGTGCTGTAGCTGATCATGCCTTTGTGGGTAGTCGTCTGAAACATGAGACAGAACGTTGTAGATCCAGTCCCCAATAGAGAGCCTGTGATCCAGGCTGACAGCCGCTGTGCACCACTGTGGGAGTGCCGCACTGCCAGCAGTGTCACTTTACAGATAAGACAATCAGCCAAGGCCTGACCTGTTGTGAATGATCCCCGAGGGCCACTATTTCGAAGAAGATCAGGTGTGTTCCTGTCAATATTTATCCTGAATTAAGGCCATTGAAGTAAATTATTGGCTTTTTTTTAAAAACTTCATTCGCGTGATTGATCTTAGTTTCGGTCAAATGTTTGATCTAAGTAGGATAATAGGTCAGCACAACATCATAGGCTGAAGGGCCTGTACTGTGCTGTACTGTTCTATGTTATATGATGAAGGTGTCTCTGGCCAGGCAGCATTTATTGCCCATCCCTAATTCCCAGAGGGCAGTTAAGAGTTAACTACATTGGCTGGAGTCACATGTCGGCCAGACCAGGTAAAGATGGCAGGTTCCTTCCCTAAAGGGACATTGGTGAACCTATTAGCACCTTGGTGTCTGTGGGAGCTTGCTGTAACTAGCTGCACATGGACCTGCACCCGCAGGGGAGGACGCCCGATGAGAGAATCGGAACAAACTGATGGGAGTTTATTTATGAGAAGGTTGAGGCTTCCTCACTGACAGTGGTCTGTCTTTACAGGGCGGTGTGACAGACGACAAGAGTGAGGAGAAATCAGTGTCAGCCCTCAACCTGGGTGTGAATACACCCACCGTCTCCTGTATATTTGACTGTAAGTACAGTCCTCCTGAATCACCAAACTGCTGCATGTGTGTGAGATCAGCCTGGGTGGGGGTGGGGGTGGGGGTGGGGGTGGGGGTGTGCTGTGAGTTGGGGGGGTGATGGAGGCGAATGGTATTGGAAATGTTGGAATGGTTTTCGGAATGTGCACAAGGGCAAGTAATGTAAATGTAAATGGGGGCAATGTAAATGTGTGTGTGTGTGTGGGTGTGTGTGGGTATGTGTGTGTGTGGGTGTGTGTGTGTGTGTGGGTGTGTGGGTGTGTGTGGGTGTGGGTGTGTGTGTGTGTGGTGTGTGTGTGTGTGTGGGGGGGGTGTGTGTGTGTGTGTGTGTGTGTGTGTGTGTGTGTGTGTCTGTACGTTACTAGAATCATACGATTATACAATACAGAAGGAGGCCATTCGACCCACTGTGTCTGTACCGGCTCCTGAAAGAGCTACTCAGCTAATCCAACTCTCCAGCCCTATCTCTATAACCCTTGAACTTCATCCCTTTCGGATATACATCCAGCTCTCTTTTGAAACCTCCAATCGAATCCACCTCCTCCCCTCTCCCAGGCAGCATGCTCCAGATAGGAGAGACAAATGTGTTTTAAACAAAGAAAGCTCAGTTTCTGATCTATGGGGATCTCTTGTGTTCTCTTCAGATGGAACCAGATATCATCTTCGATGCTACCTTTATCAAGCAAGGGATCTGATTGCAATGGACAAGGACAGCTTCTCTGGTAAGTTCTGTAGCTTGCATGGCTTGTAATCAGCGAGGAGCCCCTCAGCAAATCTTTCACAAAACGATTGGGACCAGTGATAAAGCTCACACGCGTTTGAAACCATCTTTATTTATTTGTTGTCCCAAATACGGGCTTTCACAGCTGGGGGCACCTCCAACATGCCAAAGAGATCACCCCTCCCCTCTCAGCATTCTGAAGGTAAGGTTTCCTCCAGGATAGAGTCATGGAGATCTACAACACAAGAAAAGGCCCTTCGGTCCATTGTGTCTTTGCTGGTCAAAAACAACCACTGAAGGGTCCTAACCTGAAACATCAACTTTCCTGCTCCTCTGATGCTGCCTGACCTGCTGTGTTCCTCCAGCTCCACACTGTGTTATCTCTGAACTATTCAATTCCCATTTTCCAGCACTTGACCCCTAACCTTGTGTGTCTTGGCATTGCAAGTGCATATCTAAATACTATTCCAATTTTATCAGTGTTTCTGCCTGTCCCACCATTACAGGCAGGGAGTTCCAGGCTCCTACCACCCTCTGGGTGAAACCATTCTTCCTTGCCTCCCCTCTAAACTTCCTGCCCCTTACTTTCAATCTATGCTCCCTGGTCATTGATCCCTCCTTGAAGGGGAAAAGTTCCTTCCTGTCTCCCTTATCCATTTCCTCATAATTTTATACATCTCAATCATGTCCCCTCTCAGTCTCCTCTGCTCTAAGGAAAACAACCCCAGTCTGTCCAATCTCTCTTTGTCACTGAAAGTCTCCAGCCGAGGGAACATCCTGGTAAATCTCCTTTGCACCCTGACCCATTCACCATTCATTCTGTATCACTTTTCCATGGGAAATATGACATCTGCCCTTATTCCTGCCCTCTCCTCACTGTCTCAGGCCCAAAACAATCCTTCCTGACAAAGCAGCTTGTCCTGAATTATATCAAGCTTATATGAGCTGCACCTATCCAGGCAAATGGGGAGTATTCCATCACATTCCTGACTTGTGCCTTGCAGATGGTGGACAGGTTTTGCAGAGTCAGGAGGTGAGTTATATGCTGCAGAGAAGTTGAATAAATACTTAACAGTAGATGACACTTATTGGATTCCAAAATTTTTAAATAGTCAAGGGCAACAACAGGAGAGAAAATAAATACAATAACCAGTACTGGTAACAATGCTGGAAAATTAATGGGACTTAAGGCCAACAAGTCCCCCTGACCTAATGGGATGTGTTAGGGAATGGGATGGATGAAGTATCCGATTGTAGATGCACTTTCAAGAGCTCTTAGGTTCTGGAAAAGTCCTGTGGAATAGGAGAGCTGACAATGTAGCACCTTTATTTGAAAAGGGAAGGAAAGAAAATGCACGTAACTTTCAGCAACTTACCTTAATGTCTGCTATCAGGAAAATTGTTCGTGTGTTGTAAAGGATGTAATAGCACAGCAATTAGAAATACATGCTATGACCAGGCAGAGATAGCACAGCTGTTTTATATCATTTTCAATGTTCTTCCAACCAAAATGCATCGCCTCGCACTTTTCTGCACTGAACCTCATCTGCCATGAATCCACCCACTCCCCAACTTGTCAATATCCTTTCGTAGCTCTTCACTGTCCTCCTCACAGTTTACAATTCATCTATGTTTGTGTCATCTGTGAGATTTGAAATTACCACCTGCATACTAAGGAGGAGATCACACTGGTTAGGCTACTATTGGAATACCGAGTGCAATTCTGGTCTCCCTGTTAACAGGAAGGATGTTGTGAAAATTGAAAGAGTTTAGTAAAGATTTACAAGGATGTTGCCAGGGTTGGAGGGTATGAGCTACAGGGAGAGACTGAATAGGCTGGGGCTATTTTCCCTGGAGTGTCGGAGGCTGATAGCTGACCTTATAGAGGTTTATAAAATCATGAGGAGCATGGATAGGGTGAATAGTCAAGGTCTTTCTCCCAGGGTAGTGGAGTTCAAAACTAGAGGAAAGACGAAAGAACTGCGGATGCGGTAAATCAGGATCAAAAACAGAAGTTGCTGGAAAAGCTCAGCAGGTCTGGCAGCATCTGTGAAGGAAAAATCAGAGTTAATGTTTCACGTATGTTCTGAGGAAGGGTCACCGGACCCGAAACGTTAACTCTGTTTTTTCCTTCAAAGATGCTGCCAGACCTGCTGAGCTTTTCCAGCAACATTGTTCTTGTTCCAAAACTGGAGGACATAGGTTTAAGGTGAGAGGAGAAAGATTTAAAAGGTTAGGCGGATTGGCCATGCTAAATTGCCCGTAGTGTTCAGGGAGGTAGAGGGTGTATATTAGGTGGGTCATAGGGGGATGGATCTGGGTGGGATGCTCTGAGGTTCGGTGTGGACTTGTTGGGCTGAAGGGCCTGTTTCCACACTGTAGGGATTCTAATTCTAATTCTAAAAGGGAGCTAAGAGGCAACTTTTTCACGCAGAGGGTGGTATGTGTATGGAATGAGCTGCCAGAGGAAGTGGTGGAGGCTGGTACAATTACAATATTGACAAGGCATCTAAATGGGTGCATGAATAGGAAGGGTTTAGAGGGATGTAGGCCAAATACTGTCAAATGAGACTAGATTTATTTAGAATGTCTGTTTGGCATGGACAAGTTGGACCAAAGAGTCTGCTTCTGTGCTGTTTATCTCTATGACTGTATGACTCTTTTAATATATATCAGGGATATAACACCTGAAGAAGGAATGAGGCTCAGAAAGCTTGTGTTTTCAAATAAACCTGTTGAACTATAACCTGGTGTCGTGTGATTTCTGACCTATATCAGGGAACGTAAAGGTCCCAATACCAATCCCAGGGGAACTTCAGACCAACATTGCTGTTTCTTATCACTCAGCCAATTTTTTTTTTATCCATGTTGCTCCTGACCCTTTTATTCCATGACCAAAAACTAAATTACTTTAAAGTAGGGTTGAGGGGAGGCAATGGCCTATTGGTATTACTGCTGGACTGTTAGTCCAGAGACCCATGTAATATTTTGGGGATTTGGATTCAAATCCCACCATGGTAGAATTTGAATTCAATAAAAGTCTGCAATTAAGATTCTTATGATGGCCATGAATCCATTGTCGATGGTCAGGAGAAACCCATTTGCTTCACTAATGTCCTTTAGGGCTAAGGAGCAGTCAAACTGCTTAGAGATTACCACAGGGCTGTGGGATTAGTATTGGACTACTAACCCTGAGACCCGGGTAATGTTCTGGGGACCCGGGTTCAAATCCCGCCACGGCAACCAGTGGAATTTGAATCCAATGAAATATCTGGAATTAAAGAGTCTAATGGTGACCGTGAATCCATTGCTGATTGTCAGGAAAAACCCATCTGGTTCAGTAATGCCCTTTAGGGAAGGAAACTGCCATCCTTACCTGGTGTGGCCTACATGTGACACCTGACCCACAGCAATGTGAGTGACTCTTAACTGCCCTCTGAGCAATTAGGGATGGGCAATAATGTGGCCAGCAATACCCTTGTCCCATGAATGGATAAAGGCAAAACAAAATGAGTTTGGGATTGATAGAGGGTATGGATATTGTGGTGCATTCAATTAATGTGGTGGCTCTATACTCTGGTTCTTTTGCCAAATGCCTTGAAGTGATCCCTGTGGCACTGGGAAGGTGCTTCTCTCTTCATAATAACCAGACCCTGGATGATGTTGAACAGCTCAAATAAATATTGTGTTCATCTTTCTTCCAGTCTCTCTAAATTGCTGGGAATAGTCATCACAGTCCAAGCCTTGTAAATTACCTCTCCCCCCACCTCCACAGGTTCTGAGCAGAACTGACCACAGCATTGCAGTTTGTCCAGTG